TATCATGGAAGCTAAAGTTATTTTTAATAAAAGTATTTGAAAAGGGTATAAATAAGATCACATCAGGAAATAAATGTGTGATCAGACCAAAGAAAGAATTGAAAAAAGAATTTTAATCTTGAACATATCAATGGATATCACCATCTAAAAATGCTAATGAAGTTGCATAAGTATCATCACCTCTAGCAATGGCTCTAGTAATAGCAGCAATGAATAAGGATGCATAAGACCAAGTTAAATCTCTAGCACCTCTAATAACCCCGTTATTCTTATCGTATTGTTCACTTAAATGACCATCTTCACCAGCATAATATTTAACAGTTCTGATATAAGCATCACCCCAACCGATTAATGATTGAATAACTTGATCAAATTGTTCTGAATCTTTAGAAATTGTACCAACTTCACTAACACCTGTATAATATTTCCAGAATGGTAATGATAATTCAGAAACTTGGATGACACCAGCATCTTGGAAATCTTTAACAATAAGGAAGAAATATTCTGCAATTGTATTACTTGATAAGAACCATGGATTACCTTCTTGTGTACCTGTCCCGTTATAAACATCTTCTGGGTATCTACCAGTTGGTGGTGCTAATGGTCTACCTTCTTCATCTGTTGTGGTGTTTGAAACTGGGAAAACATCTAAGAATGTTGTTGCATGTTCATAAACTGTTCTTAAAGACCAATCATTAGTTGCTGCAAAGATACCATCACCTAAATAACCATTAGTAATTCCTAAAATGGTTGAGAGATCTTTGTAAGAGATTTTGGCATGTAATGCTGGACCATAAGTATTCAAAATGATATTTCTTTCAGGTGAAAGATAATTGGCTAAAGTAGCATTAACTGCTTCTGCAGATTCACTATAAGATCTATAAGAAGAAACATCTCTTAAATATTCAGAAGCAAATTCAGCACCTAAAACAAAAGCTTTTTTTTGAACAACACTATTAAAGAAATGATGAGATCTAGTTTCTTCCCATGCATCAAAATCCTTTTCAGTCCAATTTTTTTGTAAATAGTCTAAATCAACTTTAATTGGTTCTTCCCAAGCTAAGTCAATAATATAGTTTCTATCACCACCTTTATTGATATATTCTTTAACAAATTCAATCAAGGCATAAGCTCTAACTGCAGGACCATCATTTTGAGGTCTACCCCAACCTAATTGATAGCCAGTGTTATTTTTGGCATACCATTTTGGTTCAGCTAATCCACTAATTGCAGTTTTATCCTTTTGTTCATCAATAGTAGCAGCAATGAATTGAATAAAATAGTCTTCAATGCCTCTAGCAGCTTGACTATCTCTATTTGGTAAAGCTTTATATAATTTGTAAAGAGAATCATATGTTAAACCAGCATCACGAATCCAATGATAAAAATAATCTGGATTTTCAGTATCTTCACCATGTGATGGGGATGCAATAACAAGACCTGGAACAGCACCTTCAGGACCAATATTTGCAAAGACTCTTTGTTTTGCTTTATAAATTTGTGAATCCTTGGAGTTAACATTTAACCATTCATCAATATCATCTGAGTAGCCTGATGGATGAATTGAAGGTTCCGGGTGTACTTGCTCTGGTAATTCCTTTCCATCACCTTCAACTTTGATGTTTAATTCTTGGGTATAAACAGGACCATCTCTAACTTCTAATGTAACGTTTAACAAAGTGTCAATACCACTTTGAGGGAAAATATAATTTGAAGCTGTGAATAATGTCCAATTATTTGGTAAATCTTCAACTTGATCTGCAGATAAAGTTAATAATGGAGATGATTCACCTTTAGCATTTGAATAGTATAAGAAAACACTTTTATCATTTTCATCATCATAAACAAAAAAATCAGCACTTAAAATACCTTCTGTAAGATTGTATGAAGCTAATTGAACACGAGTTGAATCTGAGAGTTCAGCTGGTTGTGATGCTATTTGAATAGCTAATGCACTTGATGCAACACCAAGAGCTTGATATAACCTGGAGAAGATCATCTTGATGTGGTTGATTGGTGTATGGTGTATATCATTATTAAATTTTTGGTTTATAAAGGAGGAATTGACTCTTGTATTTATACCTCATGTAATATACTGAGGTTACTGGTTCATGTATCTTGAATTAAACCTCTTTGGGTTGTATTAGTGTATTGGTCATCCTCGAGACTTGATGAAGAAATCTTGTACAACAATTTGTGGGTACTATTGTACCGAGAATTTGGGAGAAGTGTTGATCTTTTGTTGTAAACAATTGTTGATGCTTCGAGATTTGATGAGTATCCCATGTATTATAACAATAGTTGATTTCGAGTCAGTTAAAGATCAAACATCTGAGGCAGTAATTTGTATATCAATTGTTGGGTTTTAAACTCTCGAATCCATTAAAGCAATTTGATATTATTAAAACTCATAAAACAATTTTTTCAAACAATATGATTATCAAATATCAAGGGTTTCAAAAACACCTATAAGTTATAACTGTCGGGTATATACCTCAATTGAACACTCTTGGATCAATGTGGCATTAATCACATGCTTACTGTACCCTTCATTTCTTGACTTTTCTTCCCCAGGTTTTGAACCGAATGCAATACATTTGATCACAAATATACTACCCAAATGATGAATTAGCACCAAGGTAACTGCACTTTAATACTTTATCACATGCACAAATATGGACCCATATACTTTTTCATACCCCCAATATATGCTATTCGCACAAAATATCGGATAAATAAACACCAACTGATTGTAGATCTTCGTATACCTATGTTTGTTGATCCTGATTCCTTATTCTTCGAAGTTGATTTTATAAATTTTCCTGATCGGGATTCGGGCCCTCAAATGAGAATCCGGGGTACCGAAGTATATCAACAAGAACAACACAAACTTCAGTTTAATGATTTGATTTTGTTTCAACAATTGAGACTGGGGGCATGCTAGTTATGGATTAATATCACCTCATTTACTACAAATAATCGTTGAGACTAAAATTTCTTATCGCTAATTGGTGCATCTATAAGCACTTATTATAATACGATTATGCATGCACTACTGGAATAAAAGGATCACTCTTGTCTTATAAAGATCTCTTGTGGCTTGTCAGCTGCTCTATTATACTAGGAATAACTAGCTTTATTTGATCTTGTCAATTTACCCCATATAAAGATACTGATCAGGATGTAAAACCCATGCTTTTCAATCGCTAATTATCAAACATGTGGGATCATAGGTCAATAAGATGGAACCATTTATAAACTATTCAACTCAATTAATATAATTCATAGAGAGTTGAGGCTTCTCTTAGCTTGAAGTGATTGTTATGATTAAAATACATTAATATATAATAATTTTCCGAGTGTTTAAAGCTCAAAAAAATTAAGCGCTGTTGTTCTTGTACACAAACATAAAATTTAATTAATGGAATAAACATCATGAACGATTTCGGCGGTTAAAGTTCTAATGATTATGACATACTTTGTTGTAATAGAAGATCAAGCTCTTTCAAAGTTCCAAGGTCTTCATCACCAGTTACTTTAACCATCATCATCATCATCACAGCAAAGCATGCCCTCATACATAAATATGGAGTGTTTTGATCATATTCCAAAATCTGAATTTCAAGAATCAGAGAATACATTTGTGTCAAGGTTGAAAAAGAAGAAAAGAATTAAAGAGGATTCAATTGTGTTCCACTTCATTCATAATCGTAAAATCATTGCAAGATTTAGGTTTAATCAATTCATTGCAAAACATTATGGTATAGTGAAAATTGCAGGTGCTATAGAATATAAGACAATATATAAAGATTACAAAGGAATATTGAGTGAAGAAGAATTAACTTCCAAGGGAATCACTAGAGCTAAAGGTTTCAAATTCATTTTAGATCACAAGGGGAATGTCCTAATTGAATATGAACAAATTTTCAAATACGTTTCTCAATTTTATAAAGATGGATTATCCATTTGTAAAAATCATACCAAAAAAATTGTTAATATTGAAGGTAAAATGATCACTAAAGTTTTCCATTATTTGGATTATATGATGTTAATCCACAAATTTAATTGTTCTAGGTATGAACAAGATCCTGACATTTCTCAAGAAAACTTTCAAGATGATGATTCACCTAAATTCAAGCGTGCTACACCTATTTTTGGCATTCAAAGAGCAAACAATGAACAGCAGGAAAATATAGCCCCTGAAGATAACTTTATAGATTTAACCACTCCAGAAGCTTTAAATATCCAAAGGGATGGATATCCATCACCAGTCTCATCAAATTCATCAGCTGATTCAACAATTTTAACCATAGATATTTCACCAATTGCTTTACATCGTACCGCTAAAAATAGGATAAGCAAAAGAAGCAATATGAACAATCAGCTTGCAGAATTATCAGATACCCATGATCCCAAGTTGGAAGCTTGATTTAGATTCTGTGATTTGCACTTTAATTTTCAGCTCTTGCATGTTATTCTAAATCATATATCCACAATATATAAATATTTCAAATTATGCTTTATTATGATCCAAAGACAGTTTTAAACCCTTATAGTTCCAAGAAATGTGCAAGTTAGCCATTATGTGATATTTGATTTCTTGAGGATCTAACTGGTCTGTTTGATGGTTTCTTCCTTAAATAAGAGATAAATTGATAAAAATTCAAGTATTTGTTTTTCAAGCTATATACAGGCCAAGATAAAAAATTAATGTTATCGCTTATTAAGCATTGACAAAGCACAATAACCATATTTAACCAGTTTTCAAGGCTTATATGCTTATATGATCCGTTAATAACCTAATTAAACCAATTCTATTTGTTAATACTTTAAAATTTGTACCAGATTTATTAAATACAGCGATTATTAAGCAAAATTTCTCATAGTATCGTGTGTTTTATTGGTTATCGATGATCATTATTGTCTTTAAGTTACATATATGACCTTCCATTATACAGTTTTTATTAAAAGTTTTCAATGAATTGCATAGTTTATTATAGCTATCAACTTGTAGTTTATATAACATGGAATGTGTGGAATGAAGCTAACTTCCGAGAAATGGAGTATGAATAAAGCTTTATAACTTTAAGAGTGAAAAGTTTTCCACTTGATTAACATTCAAGATATGTATATAAATATATGTAAGTTTCCTTAAAGTTTAGTTTAATTCATCTTAGATCTAGTAGAATATCATCATGACAATTAGTCTTTTGACTTATGAGATATTTTAAGCAAATTGTAAGTCTAAGATTAAGTTTCTGACATGAAGTATTATAAATCCAATTTTGATATAAGGATGATTTCAAAACCCTTCTGGTAGACAGTTTAGGAAGAGCCGTCACCGTATGAATCATAATGATCAATAAGAAGTACCTCTGATATATATCAATAATTTTCTAATACCTCTTTGAATGAAACCCCTTTGTTTTTTTTGCATTCAAGACTAACATAATTTGAAATTATTACAATATGATGAAAAAATGAAAACAATATTAAAGCATTAAATGATTATTATATAATTGCAAATTGGATATCAATATATGAAAAAATTATATGGAAATTAATAAAATATGAAGTAAAAAACCTAGAATTGCAAATCTTTGATCAAAAATTAACAGCCCTATTGAATTCATTTGGACTATTTCTTCTTGAACCACCATGAGAACCAGGACCTGATCTTTGAATAACAGTATCTTCATCAACAGTATCATCAAATAAATTTTCATCAATCATTTTTTCAGGACCTTTTTCCTTCTTGACAATTTCACCTTCAGAATTTAAAAATGATTTTTTATTTCTACCAAATTTAAACCATAATAATGTTAGGAATCCTAAGATTAATGGTGTACCAAGTCCTACTACAACACCAATTACAATGTTTCTATTCTTATGTGAAAGACCATTGTTTGAACGGTTTGTTGTGGTTTCATTTGATGATAAAGTTGGTGTAGCGGTTGCTGTTGATGATGATGTGGCAGTTTGAGAATTTGGTCTATGTAATGTAGTTGTAATCATAACCACGACTGTTGTTTCATCATTTGATGAAGTTGATGATGAGACTTCTGTAGAGTATGCAGATTCTGATGGTGATGATGTTATTGATGATGATGGTGATGAAGATGATGAACTTGATGAGCGTTGAGTTGAAGAGGATGATGATGATGTTGTTGGAGATGATGAGGAGGATGAGGATGAGGATGATGATGAAGATGAGGTGGCGGAAGATTCAGATGATGTACTTGATTCTGTTGAGCTTTGTGGTTGTGATGAACTTTCCTCTGTGGAAGATGAAGATGATGATGTGGAACTTGATGATTCAGTTGTAGATGTTGATGATTCTGATGAAGTTTCAGAGCTCCATTGTGATGATTCTTCAGTACTTGAACTTGATGATTCAGTTGTTTCACTTGAAGTTGAGCTTTCAAAAGTACTAGAGCTGAAAGGTGTTGAAGAACTGGTATCTGTAGAACTTGAAGTTGAACTTGAAGTTGGTGAACTTGAAGATGTTTCAGAACTCCATATTGATGAACTAGTTGGTGTTGTATCTGAAGTTGATGAATCTGAAGAGAAAAAAGAACTTGAAGTATCATCATCTAATGAAGTACTTGAAGTACTAACTATGGAACTTGAAGAAGAACTATTTGAACCATCAGCTCTTTTTTCCAATTCCACAACTTTGACTTGTGGATTGGCTTGATTAGCATTTGATTTCCTTAACAATTCTTCTACCAAACCATTGGGACTTTCTTCCACTGATGGTTCTTTTAATATTGAACTAATCCCTAATTGATGATTATGACAATGACCAAATGATGAGATTATAAGATATAATGATAGTGAAAGCACCGTTAAAATTGGAACTATAACTTTAAGCATCCCTCTATTACTGGAATGTGTACTTTCTGGCTTACTCATTGCTTCTTTTGTGGTGTGTAGTTGATCAAGATGTTGCCGGATAGCTCTAATTATATCAATTTGTATCCCTAGATCTCAAACAGGGACGAAACAAGGAAAAAAAGGGCTGTAGAGAGAACTAAAGTTGGTATGAGCTTGGTTAAACCTGGGAAAAGATTGGAAGAGATGGGAAACGACCGACTAACGAATTATAACCAAACTAATTTGAGCTATCTCTTTGAAAACACTGGGTTAAATCTCAATTCTTTTGATGGTGAAAATGCAGTTAATTTTAGATCTTTTCGTTAAATTTCATTGCACAGCTTTTTTCTTTTTCTAAAAAAAAACCTGCGCTTAAAAATTTCAACAAAGCGGCAGAAATTTAACTTTTATTGACAAATCGCTTAAAATTTTGGAGTTTTTGCATTCAAATTTGTGTATTTTTAGTCCAATGATACTTTGTTATTGCTTCGGTTAATCAGGGGTAAATCTATATTAGAGCTAGTACTATATTTCACAGTTTATCAGAGAGTTTGTAGTAAATTCACTAGTCTGATGATCACCATCACCATGTGCGGGCTTAAATTAGTACATGCATAGAAGAACGCGAACTTCTATAGAAATCAATTCTTTATTATAGATATATATAGGTCAACTAAACACTCAATTTGACATTTTCTTCAGTGATATGTTCCTTGAATGGTTCTAAAGCATTTTTAACATCTTTTGCTAAGAATTTAGTAACTTGTTGTGGAGCTCTACCAACAAATGTACTTGGATCTAAAAGAGATTCTAATTCATTATGAATTGGTTTGAAAAATTCAGTGTTTTTAATTCTTTCAATTAAATCATTATCACCACCTTCTTGTTTAACAACTGCAGCTGCTTGATGTGATAAAACTCTGATTTCTTCATGAACTTCTTGTCTTGAAGCACCTTTTTCCACCATGGCCATAATAACATTTTCTGTAGCCATGAATGGTAATTCACCTTTAATTCTTCTTTCAATAACTTTTGGATAAACAACTAATCCAGATGTAATGTTTAATAAAGTACTTAATAAAATATCTGTTGTTAAAAAGGCTGAAGGTAATGAAATTCTTCTAATTGCTGAATCATCTAAAGTTCTTTCAAACCATTGAACACTTGCAGTTTGAACAACATCATTATATAATGAACCTAAATGTCTTGCAAGAGAACAAACACGTTCACATCTCATTGGATTTCTTTTATAAGCCATAGCACTTGAACCAATTTGTGATTTTTCAAAAGGTTCTTCAATTTCTTTTAAATTAGCTAATAATCTAACATCAGTACCAAATTTATGAGCAGTTGCTGCAAAACTTGATAATGGTGAAACAACATCAATATCAATTTTTCTTGAATAAGTTTGACCAGTAACTGGATAATTAATATCAAATCCTAATAATTCTGTAACTCTTGCATCTAAATCTTCAACTTTATCATCATCACCATGGAATAATGCTAAAAATGAAGCTTGAGTACCGGTAGTACCTTTAACACCTCTAAGACCAATATCATTTCTAGCTCTAACGAAATTTCTTAAATCCCATAATAATTCTTGAATCCATAATGTAGCTCTTTTACCAACAGTAGTTAATTGAGCTGGTTGAAAATGAGTCCAACCTAAAACTGGTAAATCTTTATATTCATCAGCAAATTTACTTAAACGATCAATAACATTGACTAATTTTGGAATTAAAACATCATAAGCATCTCTTAAGAAGATCAAATCAGCATTATCAGTAACATAACATGATGTAGCACCTAAATGAATAATACCAGCAGCTGCAGGACATGTATCACCAAAAACATGAACATGAGCCATAACATCATGACGAACTTTAGCTTCTTCTTTAGAAGCAGCTGTGATTTCTTCATCTGTAATTTCTAAATTTTTAGACATTTGATCAATTGCTTCTTGAGTAACAACATCAAGACCTAATTCACGTTCTGCAATTGCTAAATTATACCATAATTTTCTCCATGTTGAAAATCTATTTCTTAAAGAAAAAATTGATGACATTTCTTCACTAGCATAACGTGAAGATAATGGTGTAGCGTATTTATCATTAGCAGACATCTTTCTTGTTTGTTGTTTTGATGTTATTGATGTTCCTTGTTCAATTGATTGGTATAATTTAAATAATTTTTACAATCTCGTGGGTAAATTTATTTATATATGGAGATGAGCTTACCCTAATTGAAATCAATATTTGTAAAAATTGACTCTGAAATATTGATGGGAGGATCCGGGAATTTTGTAATTGTGCTAACAATTTAAAGAGGTATTGAGTGATAAGATGCTAGAGGTGATATTCAATAATTACAACTAAAAGATATCAAAGAGTTCATTAGTTATCTAGAAAGTTTCAATCTTTAGGCTTAATTATCAGCTGATGTACTGAGTTTTTCGTTATACGTTTGACTGGGTATTAAATACAATTTACTATGGAACACAGACTAAATACCACCAAAACAGCACAACCAACAACTCAATCACCACATAATTCACAATACCATTCATCCAATACACCATGTACCTACTACTCAATTTTCAGACCATTCCATCAACTTAAACTTCCACAATAACTCAATTTAGTCCTTATAGATCTGCCATTTCCCGTGCCAATATCACTTTTTTACCCTCTTTCGCGAATAATCTCGAGATTTTGAATACCCGATTTTACTCCTTTTGACACTTTTGACACTTATCATTGTAATAACAAGTTTATTAAACACAAGTTTAAAAGATCAATTGATCAGTAGAGTCGAACTCCTGAACAGACTACAATAATACAGAAATACAATGTCCACTCCACAAGTTATTCAATTCCATCATAATCCAATTCAATCTCATGCGTTCAATCAAGATCGTACTGTTTTAGCAATTACAAATGATTCAAATGTTGAAATTTATGATTTAAAATCAAAACCAGCTAAATTAATCACTGTTTTAAAAGATCATGATAAATTAGTTACAGCTGTTGATATTTCAATCCATGGTAGAATTGTTACATGTTCTCAAGATCGTAATGCTATTGTTTGGGAACCTTTATCTGATGGTTCTTATAAACCAACTTTAGTTCTTTTAAGAATTAATAGAGCTGCTACTTCAGTTGCATGGTCACCAAATGGGTTTAAATTTGCCGTGGGGTCATCTGCAAGAATCATTTCAGTTTGTTATTTTGAACAAGAAAATGATTGGTGGATCTCTAAACATATTAAAAAACCATTACGTTCCACAATTTTAAGTATTAAATGGCATCCAAATAATGTCTTATTAGCTGCTGGTTCTACAGATGGTCATGCTCGTGTGTTTAGTGGTTATATCAAAGGAATTGATTCCAAACCAGAACCAAGTTATTGGGGTGAAAAATTACCATTCCAAACACTTTGTGGTGATTTTATTAGTTCAAATGGTGGTTGGATTCATGATGTTGCTTTTAGTCCAAGTGGTGATGTCTTGGGATTTGTTGCACATGATTCTTCATTAACTATTGTTTATCCAAATGGTGGTGCAGATGTAGCACCAAGATCTATACTAAGTGTTTCAACTTCATTTTTACCTTTTAAATCATTAGTTTTCAAAAATGAAAATGAAATCTTAGCAGCTGGTCATAATTGTCATATTGTTACATTTGCAGGTGATGAATCTAATTGGGTTGAATCTGGATCAATTGATGATCCAAATAAGAATGATGATACTGCCATTGGTGAAACTAGTGCTTTGAATATGTTTAAACAATTGGATTTGAAAGGTACTACTGGTAAAAATTCAGGTTTGAAAACTATTCATCAAAATACTATTACTGAATTAAGACCTTATGAAGATAATGGAGTTGAATTAACAAAAGTTAGTTCTTCTGGTATTGATGGTAAAGTTGTAATCTTTAATGTTTAGATATTTTTTCCTTTGGAATAAACGTTTAATAGAATGGATATATATTAATTGTAATAACTACTTAGTATGTTATATATATCCATATTCGTGGGAATCACATTTGGTGATGGTATCAAGGCTCCTCAGAAATATCCATAAAAGTCCTTAGAAATCCTGATCTCTATATTATTACCTAATTTCATATACGAATGTTTTATCATATTCAGCCATCAACACCACAGAAGCTATCTTGAATGACATATTTCCTTTTGCTATGACCTGTTACGCATATATTTCTAGTACTTTTTATCCTAATTGATTTGAACCAACCCATAGTAAACCTTCAGCCATCCAATTCCTTAATATTACCAATACCATCGACATAGATCCTTTTCTGAAGTATGACTTTAATTGAACCATCAATTAAGCAACACATCTATCAATGAACACCACCAAGAAACATATCATATCTTTATGTAACCACATTCATATCTATCACATTGTTGAATAAGATTCTTGATTACTTGGATCTTCATTCTGAGCACCTTCTTGTTGTAAAAACAAACTATAAACAGCTCCTTTGAATAGTGTAAATACTAAAGCCATCTTATTTTCAATATCTTCTAAATTTTCTAATAATTTGGCAGATGGAACATTGACTAATTTGTTTATAATTTCTGATAATTGATGTAATCTTCTAGCTAAATTTTGATATTGGATCAAAAGATCTGTTTCTAATTTTGTTAACTGGTGAGACTGCTTTGTATAGTCTGTTGATAATAACTCTGACATCCTTAAGTCTTCCACTCTTTCTCTTCCCTTTCAATATAGTTTTCTTCTTCTGAAATGTTTTGTTATTTCAATATTTAAATTAAATTTACGCGTATAAAATAAACAAAGCAACAAAATTCGCGAAGTATGAACAGCTTATAAAACACATTCGCGGGTAGTTAAGACCTTTTCAACACTTTAATCCACTTTAAAATTGGTAAAATCTCATGATTTTTACATGAATAGATAGCTAATCTTTCCCAGAATTGACCCAGTGTATTTATATCTATCAATTACTCACAAAATTCCATCATTTCCCATCATTTCAGCCGTTCCTGAGTACTTACTACGCCTTTTCCAAAGTTTTTCTACCGGGGCAACAAATTTCTCGAAACCTGAAATTTGGTGTCTGCAGTTTTCACTTTTGCTATATTACAATTGTTTTTAATACTCATTGAATTTAAAGCATTTAGTAAACAATTTTAAAGGTCAATTCTTATTGTATTCAATTACAATTAGTTTGTGTTAATCATCTTGAGAGTTTTTGTTGTGTTGCTTAGTTCATCATGTCTCAAGCTTTAGCTCCTGATACAAAATCAATTCCTCCAAATACAGGAGTCAAGACTAAAAAAGTCTTAAGAAGAAAACAACAACCTCCAAAACCAATTAAAAAATATGTTTGGTTAGGTGGTCATGTTTCTACCTTATTATTTGGTTCAATTTATTTAGCTTTTTATTTTGCAAGATATATTTTATGGAAAACTAATTGGTATTGGACTCCAAGAATTGCATATCGTTTAAGTTTTATTGGTGTTATTGCTTCATATTCAATTACTGTCTTGACTACTTTTGGTTCAATTATTCCAAATTATTATACTTTATTAGCTACTGAAAATTTCCAATCTTTAATGTTGGGGTTTGTTTGGTTATTATCAAGACCAAGTGCTTTTAAATTAGTTCCTTTTTTCATTATTTCTATATTACAATTGAGTTCTCAATATAATGTATCTGCTGTTTTGAAAAATCAAAATTCCCTTGTTGATATCATTACAATTTCAGAAGTTGCTGTTTTTGTTGCTATCTTGTTTGATACTTTAATCTTTAGAGGTACTTCTGGTTATGCTTTAGTTATTTATTTAGGATTTTATTGGTTAAGAATTAATTTCTCACCATATACTCAAGCCTTCTTATTAAAACTTATTAGAACAATTGATGAAAAAATCATTGCTAAACAAAAACCTGAAGTTCAAGAAAAATGGCAAAAAATTAAAGATTTCGTTGAATTTAGAAGACAACAAACAAGAAAGGCAATTTCAAAAGGTCTTGATCGTGAACCTGCCGTTAAAGCTTCTAATAGAAATCCAGATGCAAATAAACCAGTTGGAAAATCTGAAAATTATCAATTAAAAGGTCAATCTGTTCCTGATTCTTCAGAAACTAAAAAATTAGCTACTGAAGGTGTTAAAGTTCCAACTGTTGAATCTCAAGTTGAAAAGACAAATTTCCTTGAAAAGGCTGATAAAGGTGAAGCTCCAATTAAAGTTCAAGATCCTCAAAAGGCATATGATGAAAATTTTAAAGCTGGTGTTCTTGCTTCAACTTCTGCTGCTGGTACTGGTTTTGCAGCCGGTGCTGCAAGTGAAGGTGCTAAAGCTGGTAGAAAACAAAATGAACATCCAACTTCTAAAGTTCCAGCTCAAGAACAACCAAGAGATCATTTATCTGCTCCTCAAGGTTTCGCTACTGGTTCATCTGCTGCTTCTACTCGTTCTTCAAGTTCTTATGGTGGTTCTGCTACTCGTGTTCCTCCACCACAACAACAGCAACAAGTTCCACAAGGTCAACAACAACAACAGTTTCAACAACAACCAGTTCAACCAGTTTCTAATGCTGGTCAAGGTGGTGTAGGTCCAAGTGCTTATGGTGCTCAACAAGTTCCAGGTCAAGGTCAAGGTCAATACAATTCAAATCCAAATGTTGCCCCAGCAAGTGGTAGAATTCAACCAGGTTCAGCAGCTTCACCAGTTCAAAGACAACAAGGATTCCAACAATCACCATTACAACAACAACAAGGTTTTGCTAACCAATCATCCCCATCCCCAGCTCAAAGAAAATTACAACAACAACAACAACAACAATTTTCTACAGATCAAGCTAAATTAAACTTACAACAAAGAGCTCAACAAGTTGAAAGACATGCACAACAAGCTCGTTCTAATTTAACTGAAATTCAAAGAAGAACTCAAGCTGGTATTGCAACTTCTCAAGGTCATGGACATTCTTCAGGTCAAGCGTTTCCTGCAAATCAACAATAGATTTTGGATAACTTACCTAAGTTGTAAACATCATCTTCATTGAACATTCCCAAGTTTTTACAGCCTAATTTAGAGCTTTTGATATTTGAAATTTATTTTTAGTGTTTTGTATATTTTGTTTTGATATGTATTTTTATAAACATTTGTATTATGAGCTTTGTGAGTGCACCTACAATGTATTCAAACTTAATCTCTATCGACAACAATTCGAACTTTTTTGTCCTTGGACGTGTATACATTATGAAGAGGTATATATATGATCCCTCTTGACTACCTATCATTCTTTTACTAAGTAAGACATTTTACTCTTATCTCATTGTTTTGAGTAATTGCATTATATTTTCCGTCGCGAGTCAGCTTATCAATTCTCGACATTTGTCATAATAATTATCAGATCCAGATCATATAAACACTAGAACTGCACAATTCACCTGAAAACAATCACTTTAAACACATACCAAATCATTATACACTATAGAAAATATGACTGAGTATACACAACTGATACCGCAAAACATCGATCTTGAAGAGGATGAAACCATAGATACACCAATCACTACAACTTCGGGCAGAACAACTTTAATACCCATGGAAGATCCACCCCATGGACGTCATCTAGGGCTCTATTCCACAATAGTGCTATTTGTTGGTAGAATGATAGGATCAGGAATATTTGCTACACCAGGTGGGATCTTTAAAGATATAAATGGTGATGTCTCAATGTTTTTAATTGTTTGGATCATTGGTGCTAGTATAGCGATGAGTGGTCTTAGTGTTTATTTGGAATTAGGATCATTATTACCAAGAAGTGGTGCTACAAAAGTATTTCTTGAATATTTATTCCCATGGCCAAAATATTATGCTAGTTTTATATTTGGGATTTTTAATGTTTTATTCAATATATCAAGTGGTAATGCATTAATCTTTGGTCAATATTCAAGATATGCTCTAGGATTAGAAAATGATGAGATTAAAGCTAGAAATTTAGCTTTAGGATTACTTGTTTTCACTCTCATAGCGCATGGTACATCAAGAAGATTGGGACTTTGGATTCAAAATTTCATTGGAGGACTTAAACTATTCCTTGTTGGATTAATGATCCTTATTACATTTTACGTCATTATAATACCAACTTCAATTACTGGTATTGAAAACAATTTGAGATCAGATATTCTTTTCAAAGCTCCTCAACTAGGTAAGCATTCATTATCAATAGTATCATCCGTTGTTTTAAGAACAATCTATTCATTTGGTGGATGGACTACTCCACATATGGTTCAAAATGAAATTAAGAATCCAATTCAAACTCTTAAAATTGCAGCTCCTTTATCGATGCTCATTGTTGTATTGACATACGTTTCATTAAATTTATCATACTTGATAGTGATTCCATCAAAAGAAATATTGAAAAGTGGAGAGTTAATAGGTGCAATTCTATTTGAAAAATTATTTGGACCTATTTTAGGTCGTAAAATCCTTTCATCAATCATTGCAATAAGTGCTGCTAGTAATTTACTTGTTGTGGTATATGCAGACTCATTATTAATTCAATCTATTGCACGTGAAGGATTCTTACCATTCTCCAATATAATATCATCAAATTATCCAAATGGTACACCAATCTTAGCATTATTCATAAATGTATCAATTTCGATTGGTGTCTTATTCTTACCACAAAATGGTGATATTTATAATTATATTGTTTCCATGCAAGTTTATCCAAATCAATTATTCCATGCTGTGTTGTGTATTGGGATTTATAAAGCAAGACATAGATTTCCACAAATCAAAGCACCTATTAGATCACCACATATTGCTGTGTTATTCTGTTTTGTTTCATCGGTGGTCATATTTGCTGCTCCTTTCAGTTCACCTTCAACTTTAGTTCAATCTTATTCATTCGGTGGGATTATATTATTTGGATTGGCTACTGTTTATTGGTTTGTGAGGGTTAAGTTCTTACCTTGGTTAGGAGGTTATAAAATTGCTAGACAAAATGTTTATCTAGATCATGATGGATTGAGAATCAAGAAATGGACAAAAGTTTACAAATGATATTCATAGTTGATTTATAGTGATACAATATATATTAGCGAACTGAAAAAAACAAACAGAATTATAAACCTTTAATTAACCCATTTAAATAAACCAAACATCTTCATTTCCTTTCTTCTTTTCACATAACACTAACAACAGAAGTACCATCTTGGAACCTAGTTCTGAAAACTCTATTAGCATTTGTAAACATACCTTCTTTTAATGAAACAATGATAAATTGTGATCCTTTGAATCTTGTCTTAATTAAATGACCAATGTTTTGAGTATGACTTAAATCTAATGCAGCATCAACTTCATCTAAAATATACATTGGTGCTGGTTTAAATTGTAATAATGCCAAAATCAATGAAAGAGCAATTAATGATCTTTGACCACCTGATAATTCAACTAAACTTTCTTTCCAAACTTTACCTAATCTAACTTTAACTTCAAGACCTTCTGTAATGTCTTTACCTTCTGGTGGTACTAATTTTGAAAATGAAGATGGTAATAAATCACCAAAGATTAATCCAAAATCTGTACTAACTTTTTCCCATGTCTTGACTAAAGTTTCTCTCTTATATTCATTTAATGTAACAATAGTTTCTTCAATTTTAGATTTATCCTTTTCAATTGTCTTGATCATTTGTTTCAATGCAGTTTCTTTCTTTTCAACATTATCAATCATACTCATAATATTTGAATTCACTTTACGTTTCATACCTTGGAATCTTTCATTTAATCTTGCTATTTGATCATGACATTCATCCAGATTAACATTTGGATATTGTTGTATAACACTTTGAACAATATTATCATCTTCTAACCATGAATTTTCTTCAATTAATTCTTCAAGATGTTTACGTAATGATTTAGATGATGAGCCTAATTTTTCAACTTCATGAGATAATTTTTGTGAGTTTAATTTAATATCATTCATTTGTTTATTCTTACTTGATAAAACTTTATTCAATTCAGCAATTTCTTCGTTGATACCAACTTGATTTTCTCTTTCAACATCAATCTCTGCATTTATTTCCATTAAGACTTCATTCTCTTTGGATAAATCTTTATCAACTGTAGCCAATTGTTTATGTAAATCTTGAATGGTGGAGTCTACATCAGTAATGGATTCTTTAGCAGTTTGTAATTCACCACCTAACTGTTCTAATTCAATTTGTGAAGATTGGAAACCATCAGAAGCAATATTCAATTGTTTGTCCAGTTTAGAGATCTGCAAAGCTATGAATTCAACTTCTTGCTCTAATTCTTGTAATTTTGAACCTCTATTTGTACTAAACTCTTTCATATCATTTTCAATTTTTGAAATTTCAGAACCAATTTTCTCAGCTTCAGTTATTTTAGTTTGGACAATATTTTGTAATTCTTCAATTTCTTTAATGTTGTTTTCATATCTATAAAGAATTTGACTTGAAGAATTTGTTTGTAAGTTCTTTTCGGCTAATTGAATCTGATGAGATGTCAAACTTAATTCATTTTGAATTGATCTAGTCTTCTCAGATAATTCTGATTCTTGTGCAAGTTCAAATTGGATATTTTTCAAATCATTATTTAATGACTTCAAATGATTATTAACTTTATTGTAATTTTGAATATTGATCAATACTGAACCTGATGATTTTCTACTACCACCGGATAAAGTACCTTCTGGATCATAAACATCACCTTGTAAAGTAACTGATCTTGCTCTAACTTGAGGATGGAAAGTAACTTTCTTTGCAGTTTCGGCATCTTCACAAACCAATCTTGTACCAAAAATGAATTCCATAGCTTTAGCAACTTCATGTTCATAACCAATTAAATTCAATGCCAATTCAACTTTACCAGGACATAATTCCTTAGCAATATTAACTTGTTGATCTGATAATGTACGAGCTGCAATCTTATTCAATGGAATAATAGTAATACGTTTTCTTAATTGACCTCTTTCTAAAAGCTGTGAACCAGTAACTTCATTATCAACAACAATGTTGTATAATCTACCACCAGCTGCCACTTCTAATGCAGTTGCTGAAGCTGATTGAGATTCATCTAAATTGAATAATTGCGCAACAACACCTTTAACTGATCTTGAATTGAAATCTGAAGTTGGTTTAGTATATGAAAATTCTAAATTTGCAACTTTACGTTTCAGGAAATTGGCTTCATTGTTGACCTTATGAAGTTCTCTATTTATTTCAATTTCACGTCTTTTCAAATCTTTAACTTTTGAAGGATTAAACCCAACTTTTGTTAATTGATCTTCCAAACCGGCTTGCTTTTGTTTGAGATTGTTAATTTCTTGTAAAAATACATCATGTTCCCTTTGAGCTTTAGCTAATTTTGGTTTATTTGAGTTATTTTCTGAAATAAGATGATCAACTTTCAATTTGGATTGTTGTATAGAAACATTTGCATCAGCTAATTTTTGTTTTTCTTCTTGAAGTTGTTGGTTATAACCACCAGATTTACCTTTTGATGAAACACCGGTGGTTAAAGTTGAAAGAAGTTCTTCTTTCTTTACATGTGTAGCTTTCAGTTCTGATAACTTATCTTTTGCTTCATTGTATTCTTTTTCTAAGTTTTGATGAGCAGTAAGTTTACTTTCAACTTCTTTCTCTAACCAACTAATTTGTTTCAATGTTTCTTGCTTTTTAGATTCTTCATCTTTAATATTTTCAGAAATAATACCTCTTGATGTATTGAATCTTGTTATAGTCTTGTTGATTTCAGTTTGCTTGGATTCTAAATCTTTCAGTTTGTTCCCTTTTTTAGCCTCTAGAGCCTTACGTTCCTTAAATCTTTCAAGATCTTCAGTTAAATTAGTAATTTCATTTGTAAGTCTTTCGATTTCTGTAGATGAGTTTTCCAATATGGAACTTTTGGTTTCAAATTCTTCATTATACTTGAAGTATTTTGCTGAAAATTTCGTAAAATCATGAGCATTAACAACACGTGAAAGCTTTTCTAAATCAGATTGAGTTTGTTGAAATTCTAAAAACATTCTTTTCTCATTTCTTAATTTTTCTAATTTTGGTTCAATTTCTTCAATTAACAATGATCTAATTTCCTGTAATTTAGTTTCTTTCTTTGCCATCGTCTTTTCAGCTTTATCTTTACGATCTTCAAACATTTTGGTACCAGCAGCTTCTTCAATAAGTGACAAGATTTCAGAAGGTTTCATGTTCAAAACTTTAGTAATTTTACCTTGCATAATCAAGAAATTTGGGTTATTGATGTTCAATTGAACAGATTGGAATAATTGTAGCACGGCTTGTTGTTGAGCTCTATGACCATTGATCAAATATTTACTTGTTCCACCAAGAACAATCTGTCTAGTGACAGAAATTTTTGGAATAGATTCAAACCCAATTGGTGATTTTGCAGTATCAGAATTATCAAACACAATAGTAACACTAGCTTTGGTAACACCAGCTTGACCTCTCTTATAGATTAAATCTTGCAAGTTGGAGGCTCTCACAGTAGACATGGATGAGATACCTAGCACGAAACAGATGGCATCCAAAATATTCGACTTCCCTGAACCATTAAGACCTGTGATGGCGTTAAACTGAGAATCCCAACCAGAGATAACCGTTCTTGTCGCGTAAGACTTGAACCCATCGATGATCAACTCTTCCACTCTCATCTTAGAACCCTTATTCTACCGATTTTAAGCACTTCTGAGTTGAATGTATAACCAAAAACCGACGCACAAGTTGTTCTTTCTTAGAAAATCAACAAAATTAAGATGTTTGTTTACTTTTTCTTTATTATTTGTTTACGTTTCGTGAAGTTTCGATTTTTTATTTTTTCGCGTGATTTACTCATGGATTATGTAATCCACAAATGCTTAGTCATTTTTGGCATCGGTTTTATCGTGCTTTCCAAATATAATAGGTGTATTCAGAATTTCTTATATATATTGTGCAGTTTAGTGGTTGAAAATTTATTCAGGTTGGTTCTACAGATGCTGGTAATCATATAGCTCCTCTTGAATATTTATAAACAATGGCTTATCAAAAACCATATTCAAAATTGAACTTCATATCGTTCGCCTTAGCATGTTTCTTCAATATATCCTTTATGGTGTTTATGAGTTCCACTCAATCATTCTTTTTAACTGATATTTTGGGTATTTCTTCCAAAATTGGTGATTACATTGGTACTTTGGGATTTGCTGATGAGTTAATGTCAATTGCTTTGAGTCCATTCTTGGGGACTTTAAGTGACAAGATTGGTCCAAAATATATTCTAGTATTTGGTGTTTTTAGTGTTGGGTTATCTTTCTTCATCTTTACCTTAGCACAAAATGTTTATCCAGATCTCTTGTTAATCAGATTATTCTTTGCTATAGGTGCTACTGCTGCTGGATCGATGATGACAGCTTTATTGGCAGAACTTTCAGCTTCAGGTTTCCAATTAAGCTCTTTACTCAACTTCAAGAATTCAAATGTTGAATATAGTGCTCTAGGTGACGCTTCTGAAGTCTCCAATACTGAACAAGAACCATTAGAAGATTCTGAAGGTAAGGCTATCAGCAAAAGAAATGGAAAATTAACTTCAGTTATTGGTATAGCATCAGGTACAGGTGCTGTATTTTCAGTTTCTGTTTATTTACCTTTGCCTACAAGATTTGGTCAAATTGAACCACCAGCACCTGCTTTAAAACATTCATACTTTGTTGTTGGTGGTATTGCACTTGCCGCTTCTTTGTTTTTATCTTGGGGTTTATTTTCAAATAAGACTTTTAAAATTCCATATCTATCAAAATATTTATCACCATATGATGATGTGTTAGATGAAATTGAAAGAGAAGAACATCAAGTTCATTTAGAAGAAGAGAAACATACCTATTTTGGATTAATGAAACTTGGGTTTTTGGAAGCTAAAGATCCAAAGATTGCATTAGGTTATCTCGGTGGATTTTTAAGTCGTTCTACTACTGTTGTTGCAGCTGCTTTCATACCGTTGTATGTTAACAGATATTACTATGATAATGGTTATTGCTCTCATATGGATAGATCAAGTTGTAAAGAAGCTTATGTTCAAGCCGCAATTCTAGTTGGAATTTGTCATACGGTTTCTTTAGTATTTGCTCCAATTTTTGGTTATTTGGCTGATAAACATGGTCGTAAAAATTCAATGATCTTAGCTTGTGTTTTAGGACTTGTTGGATCTTTTGGTTTTGCCTTTTTGAAAAATCCTAAATCAGCTACAGCTATTGTATTTAGTTGTTTCTTTGGTGCTGGTGAAATTGGTAGTATTCTTGTATCTTTATCATTATGTACAGATAAGAAAAGAGCTCATAATGGATCAATCTCTGGTGTTTATTCACTCATTGGTGGTATAGGGATTTTACTGATTTCAAAAGCTGGTGGATTTACTGCTGATTATTGGGTTGGTGGTCCATTCATTATTTTGGGCTCTTTCCAAATTATAACAATTCTATTTTCACTTTACGTTGGTGGTCATTTTGATTTCATTATATCAAAATTTACTTCCAGCGTCAGATTGGAGCAATAACTTGCTGCACGCAATTAATACAATTATATATGTAAATAATATACAAATAAAATACAATGATCCGCCTGTAGAAAACAAAGATAGCGTTAAAATATTCTACAATAGATTAATCTAAAAGTACATTAATGATATTTTATTCAAAAAAACACAGAATAATAGCGCAGACCCCAACAGAAAAATAAGTAGATTCGTATATATATGATTTTAAATAACCTAATCTTGAGTTTTTTGGGAACCACGTAATAAACCAGTTCTTCTGGCAGCAATCAAACCAGCTTTTTGACCTGGAACAGCACCTCTAGAAATGGTTGAAGCTTTACCAATATGTTGATGGTTACCACCCCCGTGTGGATGGTCAACTGGATTCATAGCAACACCACGAGTTTTTGGCCATGAGTTACGTTTAACTCTGTATTTGTGGAAGGCTCTACCAGCTTTCAATAATGGTTTATCAACACGACCACCACCGGCAATAACACCGATGACACCTCTAGCGTCTGATGAAACAATTTTTTTAGCACCAGATGGTAATTTAATTCTAGTTTTACCTTCATCTGGGTTGTGACCGATAACAATAACATAGTTACCTGAAGTTCTAGCAACAGCACCTCTGTCACCTGGTTTTTCTTCAACGTTTGAAACAATAGTACCTTCTGGGACTGAACCTAATGGTAAAACGTTACCAACGTTTAATGAAGCTTTTTTACCAGCGTAGATGAATTGACCAGTGTAAACACCTTCGTTAGCAATGAAGATTTCTTCACGTAATTTATATCTGTATGGATCACGGAAAACAACTTTAGCTAATGGAGCACCTCTACCAGCATCGTGAATAATTTGTTTAACGACACCACGGATGTAACCATGTTTTTCAGCGTAATCGTAGGTTCTTAATTTAGCAGCACCTTCTCTTAATCTGGTGTGAGCGGTGAAGATTGAACCAGCACCTTTTCTTTGGTTACGAATAACTCTACCTATTTAAAATTTGTTAGTATAAATTCTTGGGTACAGATTCATTATGAGATGAAAGAAAAACTTGATAACAAAACATTTAAGAACGTTGTAAATCTGATTCTTGACACATGATATATTCTTATTCAACTGTACTGATGATATTTCTAATCTTAATCTTTAGACTACTTAATCTTATAATACTGAAATTTTTCACTAAATCTTCCCACACTTTGAAAAATCATTAACTTTATTCCAACTGTATTGATCTTTTATATCTCATCTAAATTCATAATAATCTGTTTATTCTCTTCATCTCATATCCTTGTATCATCAAAGACATACCCATTGTTGATTAGTTTTTTGGTTGGTGTTCCTAATACTCTATATGTTAATGAATTGTATATTTTATCTTTTTCAAGTTTTCACAAGGATGTGTGTAAAATTGTTTTCGCAAAGTGTTGCGTAACCATTACCAAATACGGAACCTCCTTGGGAGTTTTCAGAATGGGACTGTTTTTCTTCCACCAGGACACCACTTTTCATCATTTGTGTGGAATATTTCAGAACATGTGTATATCTCAGCACAATATTTAATTGTATCAACTTTAGAAATCTGAAATCATGGGGAAATTCGTTGTTCAGGCAACTGAAATCAAAAGCTTATACCATTATATTAATTTACACTGTCATCATTTTATGTGACTTTATAAGTTATTTAACTTCAAGATTCTTTAGCATTGTTATGCTACGTTCTACTGGTTCATGAAACTTCATAATTCTACAATCTTACAACAAAAATTTCATTAGTTATCCAACTCTACTTAAACAATTCTAAATTAAAAACACTGCAATAAAAAATAAGATAGAAAACAACATTAACATCCAAACAATGGACTTGGTCAGAGCTATATAGAGTTGGGAATTGGGTATATTCAGAAGCATTCATTCATCATCAGATTACAACACATTGAATAAAGATAGTAGGTCTCAAGCAGCAACTGATTCAGGTTGTGGTTTACTATCAATTTTGAAACAAACAGATTCATCGTCATCATCTTCTTGAACAACATCAATTGAATCTTCATGGGTTTCTTCAACTGGTAATTGTTGTTTAGATTTTTCATCTTTCTCAACATCATCTGAAGCTGGCTTTGCTGATGATGATGCTGCTGCTGCTGCTGCTGCGTTAGCTTCTTGGTCCAATTTAGCTTGTTTCTTTTGACGAACTTCGGCTGCCTTTTTAACATCCTCAATCTTGGAAACATAAGCAGCACGAATACCAACAACTTTGTTCTTAATTTTTTGATCATTAAGAGTTTCAATCGCTTTGGAAACACCATCTTCAACTGATAAGGTAACTAATGCAGAAACATATCTTTGATGGAAACGTAATGGATGTTGTTTCTTATTGATACGATTTTTGAAGATATAAACATCAGTTGGTCCAAATTCATGGAAAAATTCACGAAGGTCACCATCAGTGGCTTTTGGAGAAAGACGGCTGATAAAAACGGTATCTTTTGAAGTTTCAGGTTCTTGCTCTTTATCTAATGCTTCCTCTCCATCAACAAGAGGTTTCAGCTTTTCACCATCAGTATCAACGGAAATCCCAGAACCTAAGTTTTCATCTTCATTTGATTCTGTTGCAGCACCTGGAATCGCTTTTTCTTCATCATTACCTTCTGCATTATCAGTTTGAACAGCTTGTTCATCCAGTTCATCAATTTTTTCAGTTGTTGCTTTTTCAGCTCTTGATTTACGATGGAAAGCACCACGTCTTGATCTTGTTCTTCTCAAAAAGGTATTTTGTGGGGAATAAGGAACAAAAGGTTTGACTCTTAAAGCACGATCATTCACAATCTTACCATTGATTTCCTTTCTGGCCAGTTCAGCGTCTAATTCATTGGCAAATTCAACATAAGCAACACCTAAAGACTTTTGATGAATTGATTTAAATCCTTTAACAGTTTGACTTGGGATAATGATGGAGACACTAAATAGTTGAATTGTTAGCCGCTGTGTTTTGAACCATAGATAAACCATGAAAATAAATTGCTAAAACAAATAAGGGTATTAAAATCTTACATTTCATAATCATTTAATAAATCTTTCAATTCATCTTCAGTAGTTTGATAACTAATATTGGAAACAAATAAACGTTTTGGATTGATCTTAGCGCCTTTTTCAACAATATCTGGAGAACCTGTATCACTTTGGACTGATGAATCAACAGCACTTCCTTCAACACTTAACACAGCGGTATCATTAATTAATTCAGAAGGGACAGCACTTAATGCTGACTCTGGAGCGCCTTGATATGGACCTTGTTCTTGTGACATCTTGACCTTGACAATTGACTAAAGCTTGGACAAATCAGTTCTAAAGTAAACGTCAACAAGTTTGGTTTTTCTACAATTTACAGAGTATTTATAGGAAATCGGAAAATTCAAACCACAAAGACAAAATTAAAAACAAAACTTGGTAAACAAGGCGGCTAATCTGAAAATTGTTGCAGTAACATCAGATACTGAACATAGTTATCTGGATATCTAATCTCCTTAATGTTGTCTTGTTTTGATTCCTAATCATATTGTGTCTTTGTGTCTTCTTGATGAATCTTCAATGCTTACAAGCTGGGATGAATTTTTTAATATTTTCCTTTAACCATCAAATGATATACATTAAAAACTTCAACTGTGAATACACCAAAAGCCAAATTTAATACAACATAATTCTAATCTTAATTTTTAAATAAAACCTATTATAATATCATGATTATATCAAATTTATTTTTTTTCAGCACGAGCAGCAGCTAAAGCTTTAGCAGTTCCGTGTAAAGCATGTTTGTGGTTACGACGGAATTTTGGATCAACACCTTTCAAAGATGGGTATCTGAAGGTCTTTGGTTTTTTAATACCGTTTCTGTGAGCTTTTCTGGTTTGGTTATGAGCGGTATGGTTCTTTGATTTAGCCATTTCTATAAAATTGTTAGTTATATTATTCCAAATACTTGTAATTCTCCTTAAGGGATGTGATTTTCAATGTGATTACTATTCTCGTTCTGGATTCATGATAGCTGGTATCTTTCAAGGCATGAGTAGTTGGTTTCCTTCTTCTTAAGTTCAACAGTTCATTTTCATATTTCCTTCAGGTACATTTGCACAAATATATGGGTTCAGTACTTCTTTTAGATCATGCCTCCATTCTCTCTTCATTCACATGTTTATACCCCGTAAGGAAAACTAACAATAGTATCCTTACTTACTGAATTATGGGTTTGTTGATGTATACAACTCTTCTAACAGTAACAGACTATAGTCAAGATGACTTTTCAAGATACTTTTCATCACAACGAACCAACAACCGCAACGGGAAACACTCTCACCAACTAGCGTGTGTGGCTCTTACCATCTCAGTAACTTAGGCAGAGAAAGTTCGCGAAACCTTAAGGCTTAGGCAGAGATTCAGTTTGGAGTCCCTTCTAAGCGTCCCTTTACCACTTAGCTCTCTCCCAGCGAAAAAAAAATAACATTACAAAATTAAGAGATTTATCTAATGTGACTGCTAGGTGTAAAGATGTTGAATACATCAGGTGATCTATTAGTTTAGGGCTTATGGTACAGTAAATCTATAAAGCTTATATTCAAGTATTTACTTGATCAAAATGTGTCAAGTGCTCGATAGAGATCCAGATAACCATGCAGGTGAATATACCTGTGTGTTAGTTGACCTTGTGTTTGAGCAAACAGCACGGAATGAGCTCAGTTAAGAGGTTTATTTCAAATAAGTTCACCAAAATAGATCCAATATTAATGATTACAATATCTACATTTCCAACATATTAAATAGTATATACATAAATCATTATATTTTAAACCTAATTGGAGATTTTATGAAATCTGTTTATATAAATAAACCTTTATGGGATGTCATATCGGACGTCACGAATATAAATATGCATTAAATAGTAACTTCTGATTTGTTATTAAATGTTGAAACTTGAATGTTGATATAAATTATTGATATTAATAAATGAATGATATTTGAAGGACTTTGTGAGTAATCATTTAAATTGTGATCTATTTCAATTTATAGAATAATCTTGGAGCGGTACAATCATTAACACAGTGTTGTAAATGGAAGAATTCTTCAACACAATCTTCTTTGTAATCTTTGTCTTCATAACCTTCTTCTTCTTGTTCTTTAGTAACTCTTTCGACACATTCAGCGTAATGATGGACGTATGAGTGACAATCTTTAGTTTCAGCACATTCTGATCTTAATTTGTCTAATTGATCACCAGCTTCTTCTTCTTCGTCTTCATCGTCTTCGTCTTCATCTTCTTCTTCCTCTTCTTCTTCTTCTTCTTCAGCTTCTTCATCATTTTCAGCCTTAGCTAAAGTTGGAACAAAAGCATCTTTTAACTCATCAAGAGCTTCGGAAATCAAAGTCAACATCTTGATCTGGTTCTATATCAATGGAGTTCTTATCAAATCTATGTTTAATTAGTACACATTTCTGAATATTTTCATTTTTCTTCGTTTCTCACTTTTTTTTCGTAATGCTGATTTTCTTGACTTTTCATTGGCTTAAAATCTTAACGTCTATGAAAATCAAATACGATAAAGTATTCGAGATTCACTAAACACGATCATCATACAAGTACACTGTAGTATGTACTGAGAATAAGAGGTCATAAAGAGTGAATCTACGCTAAATGAATTAACCGAAAACCCAAAAATCAAATTATTACTATACAAATATTATATTATTATAGTTGAAAAGAGTTAAACCTCTTAAGCTTTAGCAGCAGCAGCGGCTCTTTTAGCTGATTTAGATTGTGATTTAGCACCTAAGATACCACCACCCCAGTGTTTTCTGGTTTCATCAAATGTATCATTAAAGTTAGCAGTAACAGTTGAGACTAAAGTAGCTAAAGCACCTTCATCTTCAGCTTTAACTTCGGTTAAAGCAGCAACTGAAGCAGTTTTTAAGTGAACTAAAGTACCTAATCTAGCTTTACCTTTAACAATAGCATATGGAATACCTAATTTTCTGCATAAAGCTGGTAAGAAGATAACTAATTCAATTGGATCAACATCATTAGCGATTAAGACTAATTTAGCTTTTTTGTTTTCAATTAAAGAAACAACATGGTTTAAACCGTATTTAACAACATATGGTTTTTCTGAAGCTTCTTGTCTTGATTTACCTTCAGCAATGGCAGCGGCTTCTTTGGTTAATCTTTCTTTCTTTTGAGCAGAAGTTTCTGGTCTGTATTTGTTGAATAATTTGAAAGCTTGAGCAGCAGTGTTTCTATCTAAAGTATGTTGGAATTGAGCAATTGCTGGTGGAACTTTTAATCTTAAAGATAAGATCTTTCTTTGTCTTTGTAATCTGACATATTCTGGCCATTTAACAAATCTTGATAAGTTTCTTTTTGGTTGAATGTTTTGACCAATACCAAATTTCTTTGGTTTTGATTCAACTAATGGGTTTTTTGAACCTTTAGCAGATTTTGAGTTTTTTGAAGATAATGGAGCTGGAGCAACTTTTTTACTAGCAGGCTGTATCATTGAGATTAGTGATTTGGTCCCTTAACATATAGTCAAGAACAGAAAAAATCACATCAAGAACAAACTTGAACATCTCTACAGTAATCATAAACTTCATTCAGGAAGTATGAAAACTCAGCCTGTGCAACAAGGATAGTATGCACATTCATTAATAAATGGTGGAAAACAAACAAAAAGAAGCCGTATAGAATATTCCAATAATCAAAGCTCCATATACCAAGGGTTTAACTTCTTGAGGAACTTGATTTTAACAGAACAAAAACTTCCATGGCCAATATATTTTGTGTTATAATGAAAAGTTGAAAAAACTATTCAAAATTCACACCTTTAATAATAGAACATCGTCAACACCCCAAGTGCACTACTGAAATAGTAGATCTGCCCAAGGAGCTCCAATAATGCTTTTTATCTATTACTTCCATAATATGGATGTTAAATCAAACTTACCATTTTGTTTATGTGTTGTGGTATCGTTATTGTTGAATTAAAAGAAGTAAATAGGAGTTCAAAATTGTTTTGAAAAAATTTTATATGTGAAAAAAAAAGCTGAAAAAAGCTTTCGCGAAAACAAGTTTTGGTAGATACACTCTTTTCTGAGAAAACGTAAGGGCCACGCAAGAAAGTACTGTCAGTTTCAATAGTGACATTATAAAATATAGAGATATCTGAAGTTATATGGTGAGTTCAACTAGAATCTTTTTAAAATGTACTACAAGTTAAATTTGTAAATAAAATATTATAATATTATAAGATAGTCCATGGATCTAAGAAATATAAAAAGTTAAGACGTATAAAGAAAACTTAAGCAAGAGCAAATATACCAGAAACACCATCCGAAATTGAAACCTCACCAACTATGATTAACTAGCAAGACCAAATTTTAAATAGCACATCAATATAATAAGCGTGTTATAATAACTTAAAAAGCTTAAGCAATAACACATTCACCAAAAAGCATACCGTTTTTGTAGAAGTTATCTTGGTTTTCTTGTTTGTCTTTTGGAGCAGCTGAAGCAGTTGAAGCAGTGAATGATGGTTGCATTTTTGAATTAGATTTAGTTGATTGATAAGCGAATGACTTAATGATGTAGAATAAGAAAGGATTTAATTGATAAAATATAGGAATTCACATCGTTATTTATATTGATTTTATGAGGCGATCTTCATGTTCCATGATTGTTTTGATGAAGTTTTGATTCTATCAATTGTAATGTATGAAGTTTTGATACTTTCCTAATCGGGATGACACAAAGGTATCTCTAATTAAGCGAAATTTTTACATTGCAATAATGAACAACAAATTTGTATAGAGATATACGTATAAAGAGATATGAGGCTAGGGTTAAAGCTATGAGCTCATGCTTGTTGTTCTTCACCTCATATTACTAGAAAAGTGAAAGACAAAGAGATCCTTCGAATAAAATCGTCTGTTCGATGTGTAAAAAGTTTCAACTGAATAGACATAACTTACCAAAACTGGATTTCACAAAGAATAAGATCAAAAGAAATTGGTAAAGCTAATGAAATGTGATCAGTGATGAAAATTTATGTGCATTGATTTAAAATCCAAGAGTTACTAGAATAAGTTGATATAATGGGCCAGCTCTGGTTCCAACAGAGTCTAACCTTTAGCCCCATTGTAAAGCATGGTACATGATGTTAGTGAATAAATCAAGGCATTTGGCATGTGGTATAGGTTTAAGCGACTTTGAAAGTCTTGGAAGTTTAAACTTCTATGATGATGTTTGGATATCGATCTTGGGGTTTGGAATTTTAAAAAGTGCTAATATTTGAGGATTTCAAAATACAATTCTATGTAAATTGGTGAATCAAGAACAGCCATTAGATATATTTGGGGCAACTTAATCTCTATGGAGTAGTTTGATTACTTGGAATTGGTGTTTCCATAAACCCTGAGATGAACTTCTGATTCTTAACTTTCAAGCCTCAAATATCGATTAAAAGAACTAATTATAAGACTTCATTTTGAAAAGAATATCCCACTATATTGATCCAATATTATTTCATAATATCAATCACAGATTAATGCCTTCTAACGATAACAATCTTCCTTAGATTACAAAATCTTCTTCATTTTACAAGATTGAAGTATCATGAGTTGAAAGTTGAAGTATGTAGTCTCATCCCGCGAAATTATGTGATCGTAAACGGAGCCACACACTTTAAAAGAACAATAAACATACCAAATCATTACAATATCAAAGAATAATCAATGCTGACTGGGAATCGTCAAATCCAGTGCTCTATTTGGTTACTGGTTTATAATGGATGATAATCAAACACAGGATGCTAGAGCTTTGAAAAGATCAATTGGTCAAAATGGTGGGAAATCAAAACAAGCAAAGACAACCAAAACAATCAATATATTATCATTACCTGATGAATGTTTGAGACGAGTGACTCAAAATCTTACGCAAGAGGATACATTATCATTATTATACTCTAATTCACATTTTGAAAGAGCTTGTAAATTCAGATTATACAGAAATATCATCATTTGTGAAAAGTATCAAGATCATTATTTTTATGAGTTGTCAAAGCAAAAGAAAACTACTATATTATCAGGATGGGATAATATCATCAAGTTCTTTAGAATGTTTTATTTGAATTCTCAAAAGGGAAAGAATTTGGATTTGGCTAAATATTTTGAAGAGATCTCTACTTATAATTTCTTGGATAGAGGTCGTGTTGATCCTTTTAAAGTATTATCAAAATCAGATTTAACAAATATATTAAGCTTAAGACAATTTTGGGATATTGCTATTAATAGTTTTGTTAATCTCAAAGTTTTTTACGGTCCTAAACTACCATTAGAGAAAGTTTTTTCATTTAAGGAAACAATTGTGTCAAATTTACGGAAATTATCAATTTCTATCGATGATTTTTCACCTTTAGGACCATTAGAAGACTATGATATTAATCTACCGCATTTGAAAAACTTAAAGATTAACTCTGATAGGGATTCGAGTGGTACTTATACTCCAAGAGTTCGCCTTGATTTTAAAACATGTTTGGTATTGGCCAAACTGTTAATAGTTGATGGATCGGCAAATAATACAACTTTAGAAGAGCTAGAAATAAATGGATCATTTGGTTCAATGGATAGACGCACTGAGCATAAACTTAGACATGCTAATCTAACAGAAGGTACAAGTTTAACTTTGTCCTATATTTTGGGGTTCAGAAATGCAACTTCTTCAGTCATGAAAGAAGTACCAAGTTTAAGTACAAATGGATTAGATGAATATGAAAGTGATAATGATAAAGATGCTGCGGATACAGATGAGGAACAAGAAGAGGAAGGAGAGAGAGAGTATGATGATGATATATACAACGATATAGCTGCACAATTTAGCACAAGAAATGGAAGTGGTATCAACGAATATCTTAGAGAATCTCTAGATTTTGAACCTCCTACACCTGAAATAGTGGGTTCATCACATAATAAACTTGGATTTGACCTCCAAGCCTATAATTCATTACCAGGTCTTAGAAATGCAAATTTTCAATATTTTGAAAGTGGAATCACATCACCTCGAGATGAATTTTTCGCTGTATTGGTTGATAACTTCGTCCAAAATGGAATAAAATTATTAAATTTGAAGAAACTTTCAGTTGCTAATATGGGTTTTGAAAAAGAACATTTTCTTCCTGGATCAAATTTTCTAAAAAACTTTGATGAATTATTTCCCAATTCTCATAAGCTTGAAACCTTGGATTTTAGGCAGGTCAGTCATGCTTTGTATATATTCAATGAAAATGAGGAACCACTTAATGATAATGAAGAAGCTGAGTTTTTTCAAAATGATGTACCATCATTCATTACACATTTAACAAACTCAATTCAAGCTTTTAACAATTTGAAAAAATTAGTACTGTACACTTATCAATATCAAGGATTGGGTGAACCAACTGAGTATGAACATGGCTTTATGGGAAATCATTGTATCAAACTTCATACTCAACTTCAAGCATTTTCAGCCAAAACCCCGAATTTAGAAGAGTTAGTTGTTTTCGGACCTGATAAAACAAAGTTAAGACATTTTTATAGAATCCTTTATAAATCACATGCAAGAAAAACAATAAAAAAGTTAACATATCATCAACCAGAAATAATATCAGAATTATGTTCCAAGATTCTTAATGCAAGAATTTTCAAAAAATTTAATAAACATAAAAACTTAAAAATGTTGGATGATTATTATTTTGGTTGTTCTAAGAAAATTGTTGAACATTTCATTACTACATCAAGAGTTGAAAATTATTGTGGAAACGAACTAATGAAATATAATGAAGATACAATGTTTTTCAAAGATGAATTCTTATATTTATTTGGAGATGATGCTAAAAGATTCTTTAGAATTTGTCCAAAACTTGAAGAATTTACTCTTTATGGATTTACATTTGAAAGAAATAAAAATATACTTGTTTAAAAAATATTTATGAATGATAAAGGTCTCATAAACTTCTTTGTAATAGATCACTAGATCTGTGATATTATAACCATTTAGCCAGTCCCGGCTCTCTACACAGCTACCTATAACCAATCATAATAGCATACCCCTATATCCCTAATAGCAATTCCAGGATCACTAAAAGCATGAAAGACCTTGTACCTAGTCAAAAAGTCGCCAGTCCGTGGCATAATCAGCTAATCACAGGTCATTTCTCAAAAGTATCGTGATGTGAAATCGGGAATCGGATTTATCAAAAGTGACAGGAAGAACCAACTCAACAGATCATCAATTAACCCCTAGAAATCCCTGTTGAAACAGTCTTACCTGCATTCTCCTCTTATGTATTCTTAGCTTTTGACCAGTTAAGCTGAAATTTTCTGATGATTTCATCAAAATTTTGAATATTTTGGGTGAATTGACTTGACTTTGCTCCTTTTCAGATCCCCATATTTTTTATTAGTATAGACTTTTCTTTTTCACGGGGGAACACTTAAAAAACTGGAGATATTTTTGAGAATCACACAACTTTATTCGTTTAACGTTTTATAGGTTTCAGGTGACTGTGGGTCAAATTAAAGTTACTATTGGCTGGTTTATCATGGGTGTGTGACCTATTTGAGCTGTTGTCTTGTTGTCTTGTTTTAAAGGGGGTGGTTTTTTATGGGTATAAATAATCTGTGAATCCAATAACTTTTATACTCCCCCTAAATATTTCTTGGATCTTCATCAGTTTAATAGTTAAACAGATATATCAATCAACAACAACTCAGTTTAAAACTCAATTATTATTACATCATGGCTAAAAAGGATAAACAACAAAAGAAGAAACTTTCATATGGTAAACTTCAAGAATTTGAAGATTTAGATACTTTTGAACAATTCCTTAAGGATGAAAGAGAAGATAATGAACACAATAATGCTCACGCTCATATCAATTACATTCCACCTTTCGTTTTAGCTGCTTCTCATAATGATCCTGATAAAGTTAAAGATTCACAAAATAGAAAGAATAAGAAATTTGTAAGACATTTACATCAACATGTTGAAAAACATTTGATTAAAGATATCAAAGCAAGTTCTGGTATGGATTTAAATTTTGGTAAACCTGAAACAATTGAAGATTTTGATACGATAACTTGGAAGTATACAGATAGCTCTGATCATGGTTTAGGTTTAGATGGTGAGAAATTCAAAGTTGAAGTTGTGGTTAAATGTAACTCAAATGGTGCTTATGTTGATGTCAATTATAACACTTTACCAATCACTGAAGATTTACAAGTTCCAGTATAGTTACTGAACTGATCTTCAAAGGGCTCCAGTTGGTTTGAATTTGGAGTTCCAATTTGAGGTATTGATCAACCTTTCTGCTTATATGTCCACAGCTAAAGTTCTTTTTTCTTTATTTCACCTCTTACGTTTCCTTGTTAATGGCTGTTATGAATTTATGTGTTTATGTGATCTTATCTTTGAACTGTAGTTAGTTACTCTGAACATCAAGCTACTGCTTGTTACCTGTTCAGAACATCATATACTATTTCATGGAGTCAGTATTTGGTACCTTTAGTTAGGTTATCAATTACATGATTACAATGAACATTATCATTATATAAGTGTCAACAACGATAATAGTATCAGATGCAGTACATGAAGCTGTTTACAAAGTACAACTTCGCTTTTTTCGGATTTTGGTTGGCTTTGCTTCCTAAGAATAAAACCTTTATAAGTGATATTGATACGTCTCATTGAGACATGAATCAATAATACAATATTATACATACCCGTCTTTTATATTATATCCTTAATAATATAATTACCATACATATATATGTTTGAAAGTACGATAATATTCGATCTATCTCATAACTAAATCCGAAAGCGCCGCCGTCGCCTGGGTCCTCTAAAATTTTGAATATCTCAGAAAAATTGTATGGTAATGATATCTGGTTTTTTCAACTTATCATTAATAAGATATGAATAGCTGACCAAATATATAAAATCTTTGAAATTGAAGAAAATTAAATTTGTAACTTTTGGATTAAGGAAAAAAGTCAATGCTAAAAATTTTAATTTTACTTTAAAATCATACAAGTTCAAAAAATCAAAAATTTAAACCTCTTTGAAATCATTAAAAAGTGGGTAAATAAGATACACCGGAATCAGATAAACACTTTAATATATTAGAAATGATATAGTTATATACAAATGTTATGAGTTATTGTCTTTTTCCATGCTTCGAATTTTCCTTATAATATTATGAATTACATAATACGGAGTTAATCAGCTCAACTTTCAAGTACATTTCGTAAAAATTCTGGGGTATTGACATGATAAAATCAGGAATAAAATACATGATAACATCATAATTATTTCTTCAAAAGACTTAAAAAGTAGATATATCAATAAAAGATACCCATTAAATGATTATTCGCTTAAAAAAATGGTAAAAAAAGAAGATTTTTCATGGTAAAAAGCCAAAAAAAGATATGAGCGGTACGGGAATCGAACCCGTGCCTAGTGCTTGGAAGGCACTTATTCTACCACTGAACTAACCGCCCGCGAATTTAATTTTGGTAAAATTTTGGAACGACCGATTTTGCTATGTAAAAAGTGGTATGCGCACGAATTACGCGATTTTTTCACTCAGTCACTCGAAGCTCGCTAACAAACTCCAAGATTTTTTATTGTTTCTCGGAGTATTAATCTATAAAGTAAGGGGTCTTTCTCAAAATAAGATTGTTTTATAAGAATTCTTTATTGTTTTAGAGGTTACTTTCATTAGATATCATATCAATTCAGCAAAACATCAACGGTTTTTATAATGTCAGCTTCTTGTATCTTCTGTAAAATTGTTAAAGGTGAGTAATAAAATATTGACAGATGCATTGTAATTAATAAAGACAATTAAAGACAATTATAGAACTAACAAACAAATCATTAGGTGAAATTCCTTCTTTCAAATTATTTGAAACTGAATTGACTTATTCATTCTTAGATATCCAACCAACTTCAAAAGGTCATGCTTTAATTATCCCAAAAGAACATGGTGCAAAATTACACAATCTTTCAGATGAATCATTATCTGATTTATTACCAATTGCTAAAAAAGTTGCGAAATTGTTAGGTGTTACTCATGATGATGGTCCAGAAGGTGTAGGATATAATCTTTTACAAAATAATGGGAGATTAGCTCATCAAGAAGTTGATCATGTTCATTTCCATGTTATTCCAAAATATGATAAAGAAACTGGATTAATTGTTGGTTGGCCAGCTCAAGAAACTGATTTTGGTAAATTAGGTGAATTACATACTGAATTGAAAGCAAAATTAGAATCTGGAAAATTCTAAATTGATGTTTATGATTAATTAATTATATTATTACATGACTTATATTATTTATCATCTCGGTGTAATCATCCTTTCATTTTGTTATCAAATAAACAACAAATCCTGTTTTCAACTCATCAATTAACAATTCTTCATCATGTTTAAATATCTTCAACCCCTTTTCAAGAACAACCGTAACAAAATGTTCAATATTTTCAGGTAACCTTAATTGTAACCCCATTAATACCTTAGTATCATCACCCATTAACCTCACAATAGAATCAACCAAAAAAGGAACCAAGTAATCATTATAAACAACATCACAACCAATAATAAAATCAGGATCTCCATTTTGAACTTGATTTATTTCAAAGAGTCCTTGATCTATATGTTCCCAATCAAATGTAACAACATCCAATACCGGTAATGCATGTTTCCTCTTTGGAATTCCTTCACATTCCATTGTAGAGCTCCTAAATAAAGGAACATTATTAATTATATTCTTCTTTAATAATTTTAATAAATGATATTGATCTGTTGAGATATAATGACCAGTTTTAGGACCTATAGTCGAAGCTAATAATCCCGTGACACCAGATCCAATCTCTATAACAAATTTCCCATGGAAATCATAAACATTCCTTTGTTGAAGCCATTTAATAAATGGGATTGTGATTTTCCAAAGAACAAATCCTGTTGAACTTGAACTATTATTTAAATTTGAAATTGATTGTTCAATTGAATAATCTGAGTTTTGAAACGTTATATCAAGTTTTGGATCTTTAGATATTATACCTAGGTCTTGACCTGATTCAGAGTCCACACAAAGTTCATATATATGTGATGATACGTCTTCTAGTGTGATTTGTGTGGTCATTGGTGCGTGAATTGTGATTAGTACGAATTTGAAATGGTCCTTTGATTGCATATAAAATATTTCTCGAAAATTGTGTCAAAAAATTTACATAGAGGTGAACATGATTTCTAACCAAATCGAAAATTACAAATAGCGTTAATCAAAATTGATGCCAAAAGAGCTGTTTGATGCTTGAATAACAATGGATAAATCCATCCTACACTGCTACAAATCTTCCTATAATAACATTTCTAAAATTATTTTAAAACTTTATACATAGACACTAAGATCTCATTTACATAAAGATTAGATTAATCCTTTCTTTAATAAGATTTCAGCAATTAAAATACCAGCACCAGCAGCACCAATGATAGTATTATGAGATAAAACAACCATTTTGAAATCTAATAATGGATCTTCTCTAATACGACCAACTGAAACACCATAACCATTATCTCTATCACGATCTAATCTTGGTTGAGGTCTATCAGCTTGTTCTAAGACATGAATGGTTTGTTTTGGAGCTGAATGACAACCTAATTTATAAGCATCACAAACATATTCTCTAAGAACTTTTTTAACTTGATCAACAGATGGTGCAGGTCTGTTTTTAAATTTTAATGAAATACATTCAGTATGACCATCTGAAACTGCAATTCTATTACATTGAGCAGAAACTTTGATTTCTTCATCAGATAATAAATTAACACCATCTTTAGAATCATTTAAATCTGCAAGAATTTTTTTAGTTTCCCATTCAATTTTTTCTTCTTCACCACTAATATATGGAACAATATTATCTAAAACATCAATACCAGAAACACCTGGGGAATAACCAGCACCTGAAATAGCTTGTAAAGTAGTGGCAGTTAAAGCTTCAATTGGACCAAAGTTATCAATCAATGGTTTTAATGGTGCAACTAAACCAGCAGTAGAACAATTTGAAATACATGCAATGAAACCTGGTCTTTTTTCACCAGCTTGTTTAGCCTTGTTTAATTTAGTTTCAATAATTTCTAAATGATCAGTATTAACAATTGGAACAATTAATGGAACATCTGGTTCTCTTCTATAATTTTTAGCATTTGAAACAACAGCTAATCCAGCTTCTTTAAAAGCTTTTTCGATATCACCAGCATAATCTGAATCTAAACCTGAAAAGACAACATCACAGTCTTTGAAAGCTTCAACAGTACATTCTGAAACAATGATATTTTGGGAAGATTCTGGTAAAAGATGAGTTTGTTTCCATGTAACAGCTTCTTTATATGGTTTACCAGCAGATCTTGAAGAAGCACCTAAAACTTCCAATTTGAAATCAGGATGTTCTGATAATAACAAGATGAAACGTTGACCAACAGAACCAGTGGCACCTAAAACACCAGCTTTCTTTTGTGGAGCCATTTTAATTTTATATTTATATTTAATTCAATATTTTGTTTTTGTGGTAAATATTCAAATCTGACTCAAAAATTCCAATTTTTAATTGACGGTGTTCGAAAAAAAAAAAAAAAAAACTCAGATGACGTATATCCGAGGGTACAAAAGTCATGTGATTTGCATAGTCGGAATTATAAACTACTAATTAATTTATTTCAATTTATCAAGTTTTAATCTATAATTACCATGAATTTTTACTATTATACAGGATGAATGGTGTTGTATGAGCTGATGATATGACCTATTTCTCAAGTTTCACCTTTTTACTAGCCTTTTTAGCTTCTTTTGCTTCTCTTTTAAGACGTTTTTTCTCTTCTTTACTTATTTTTTCAGTTTTAACTTCAGTTTCTGATTCTTCATCAGCATCTTTGATTTCTAAATCTTCATTTTCTGGTATACTACTTTGTTCTTCTTCTTCTTTCACTTGTTCTTCCTTTTTAACTTCTGGAACTGGTTCATCATCAAATGTGATTTTCTTTGGGGTAGCTTTACCTTTAGGTGGTGCGATGGTATTATTACTTGTGGTGGTGGTATTGACAGCTTCTAAAGGAGGCAATCCTCTTAAATCTCTTTGTATTCTTTTCAATTGGGACACAGATGCACCAGCAGTGGATGCAGTAGCACCTGAACTGTTTAATAATTTAGCATTTGATCTGGTTTCTTCACCATCTATGAATTTTGTTAAGAATCTTTCAGTTTCCTCTTTATCCAACGCTTTTGAGCCCAACAAGTGGACAGTGACTGGTGTATTCACAACAGATGGTGCTATTCTCTTAGCTTTAACTTGTGACATGCTTAAACTTATGATATAGTCTAAACTTTTTAGTACTCTGATCGATATTTTGACATTAAAATTTAAATTTTTTTATTTTTTTAATATTTTTTTTACCCTGCAAAAAATTTGATATTTCGTGAAAAATGGAAATTTGAACTACAATTAAACACAATTTGAATAGAAAACCGATAAAGATCTATTGGAAAATTACTTCATTATAGTCCTATAAAAGATGTTTAGCAGAATAGGGCTTGTGAGACAATTAGGTAGCGTGCCTTCAATGTTGGTAAAGTGAGTTCTTTGCAGATTTTTAGGAGTCATTTGACCAGTACTAACATTATATAACATTAGACCAACAATTAGAACATTCACCACAATCAGACCAGTCTCACCAATGACTGCCTTACGTGCCTCATACAAATCACCAAGCTTAGAATCTCCAACACAATCACCAATATTAAGTTCTTTACAACAGGGTTCTTCTCCATCAACTTCAATTTTTTCAATTTTTGGTCTTGGTCAACGTCGTTGGAAATCAAGAGGTAATACTTTCCAACCTAATACATTTAAAAGAAAACAAAGAGTTGGATTCTTAGCAAGAATGAGATCAAGAACTGGTAGAAAGATTATTAGAAGACGTAGATTAAAAGGTAGATGGTATTTGTCTTATTAAGATTTTTTTTTACTAGTTTTTAAAGAAGGATAAATATTAAAATGATTAATGTACATAGATAATAATAAAAAAGGGTTAAATAGTGGATCTTTAACGGATTGTAGAGGGCTATCCAGACAAGTGACGACATGGGGTTTGTTGTAGTATGTGCAATGTTTGGTGGTATATCTCATGCTTGAAATAGTGTAAAATTAAGTAAAAAAGACCCTAAAAACAAGGGGAAAAAGGGTGTCACAAGGGAGAAGAGAGTCAAATAAACATCTTCAAACAAAGAATGACTTTCAGCTTCTATATCGGTGTCATTATAATCCTAATCTTAATTAACTTTTGAATCTTGAAGTATTTTGTTTCCCATACCGAATATTTTCTCACCAAAATTCGAATTTTTTTCAACATAAACTTCGAATCGACAGAATCAATTGAAAATATAAGAATAACAAAGTCAGTTTCCAAGACTCAAAGAGGAACCTTTGAAATAATGTCTTTAAGAATATTCAGCAAGAATGCTATAAGTATAGCCAGATCCATGTGTCCAGCTATGACTATCAGAGGATTTAGCTCAAGTATTACAAAATTTGATGAAGTATCTAAAACAGCAGCTGAAAAGAAACAAAGAGAAAAAGGTCGTGATTTAGCTAAAAAGGATGAACAAAGAAAAATGGCAAATCGTCGTATAAGAGCTCGTGAACCTGCTAAGAATTCACCTTATTTTTTCGAAATTGCAGATGCTTTAAGATACTTAAGAGCTTCTGAAGTTGGTAGATCTCCAAATGAAGCTGTTATAACAATCACAACTGATATTGTTGCTGATAAAGGTGCTCCTGCCCTTGCTGGTTCTGTTAAATTTCCAAAAGCCATGAAAGAAACAAGAACTATTTTCTTCACAACTGAACCTGAACAAATTGAAGCTGCTAAAAGAGTTAATGTTACCACTGTAGGTGGTATTGAATTGATTGAACAAATTAAAAATGGTGAATTAGAATTAGATTTTGATAGAGGTTTCGCCACAGCTGAATTAACAAAAGAATTGGGTTCAATCGCAAGAAAATTAGGTCCAAAAGGTCTTATGCCAACAGTTAAAAAGGGAACAGTGGTGGAAGATATTGAAAAAACAGTAAATGAAGTTTCAGGTACAATCCCATTCAGACAAAAGGGTACTTTCCTTTCAGTTGCAGTAGGGAGATGTAATTTCACTGATAAAGAAATCATTAATAATATTGTGGCATTGGCTCATGCTTTTAGAGAATCTGTTTCAAATCAAAAAGCTAAAAGAAATAGTATCTTAGGTCAAACAACTATAACTTCTACACATGGTCCAGGGATGGTTATTGATTTCAGATGATTCAATAGCCTGGAGTGCTTGTAAATATAGAGAAATGGTTATCCAGTGGGTTTTGTTATGAGTTGATTTATGTTTAGAATGTTTCTGTATATATTAATAAAAAATTGGTCATAATAAGTGTTTTCAAATAGCAAAGCTTTGCGGGAACTCATAAAGAGTAATGTGAAAAAATAGTAATACAACTAAAACTCCATAAACTCTAGATTTTTCTTCATATAATTGTGTTCGTATGTCATTATAATTATGAAACCAAACGGGCTGAGGTCCTTCAAAAAAGGTTGTCTAAATCTTAAAATACTCGGAAAAAAAGCATGAAAATATTCTCTTATTCTCTAATCATCATCATTTCTGTCAAAATAACACATAAATATCTTGTTTTTTAATGGTTTATCTTGTTGTTTATTATCTCCATAGTTAAGCTATCAAGCTCATCTCATCTCATAGAAAACCGCGAGGTAAAAAAATCAAAACAATAGAACTTTAAAACCAAAACAAAGCAAGAAACAGCCTTCTACAATCACCCACCACTCAACCATTATATCAAGAAATGACCAATTGGAAAGATGCTATTACTCAAACTTCTAAATCTTTTGTGTCTCGTGATAAGCTGTTTATGTTCAGAAAATGACAATTTCAAACTAGCAATCCCCATATACTTCGATATTTCAAAACATCTCAAATTTTTAATACCTAGAACTCAAAAACTTTTGAATGATGACTTATCACAACGAGAATTCGATATTGAATATCAAACTAAACTCATCTGGGGACCAGGGCCTTCATACACCATCAAATTAGATTATGGTGAGGAAGAATCTTACTTCATATCACCATATGGGAAAACTATAACAATTTATCAAACTGATTTCTTAATTGCTGCAAATAAAGTTCATGAATTTATAGCTAGAGTTATTGAAGATTGTTTACTAAAGATTGAATTGGATTTCTTTGATTCTGGTGTCATTGTTCCACATGATAATGTTGGTATTGATATTGGTCCAAATCATATAATTGATATTCATATTATATCATCAAGACAATACAATTGGGATAAGGCACTATTTGATGAAGTGTTCCAGCCTGTGATTAATGAACTATATGATTTGATTGAGTTGGATGTTAAAGTTAATCATGTTAATGAAATTTATAAACCTGTTTTACACCTTGATGACTTTAATTCAATTTTAAACCATGAAAAATTAACATTTCTAATATATTTAAGTGATGATGAAATGATAATATCAGGTATTGATTCTTCTCAAATAATCATTCCTAAAAAAGGAGCAATTCAATTAGTTCATCTTAATGAAGATCTCGATGAAATGGAACAAATTGAAATATTGGAAGTTTTAACAGGTCAATTATTCAAATTATTAGGGATGAATTTCCAAGAACCAAAATCTCCATTCATAAGGATTGATTTTATGATTAGAAAACAAATTCATATAAATTATTTGAAATTGAAATCAAGTGAAAAAACTCATATTCAAAAATTGATGAATGAAGCTAAATGGGGCGATGCACTACGTTTATCATGGGATTTCCTAAGATTAACATGAGATCAATATAAATCAACTTTTATATATACAAAAAGACCTAAATTAACTTCTTTTCTTTTTTGGTTTTGATTTATCATCAAAAGATATCCAATTTGAGTTTAATCCATATTTTTTGGTTAATAATTCAATCACAATTTTACTATGAGGACCTTGGACAGTGACTTCAGTTAATTTTGGATTTTGAACATTTTGACCAATAGTACTTGAACCTGAACATTTAACTTTTAATTCTGAGGATAATTCATCAGCATTTATACCAAATGGTTCAAAATTAAAAGTTCTAGTGACAACTTTACGTCCAATTTTAGTTTCAGTTATGATTTTAACTTGTGGGATTGAACCACGTACAGGTTCTTGATGAATTTGATCTTCCACTGGCAATGCAGGGTTTTCAAGCATGTAATATTCAGTAAATTTTGATAAGAATGGGGTTAAGATTTTATCCCTTCCTAAAGTGGTTTCATTATTCTTAACCAAACATGATAAATTGTCATCTAGTAATATTTGTTTTTTATTTTTTTCATTAACAAGTCCATTTTTGGCAATATATTTATTCAAAATTTCTTTGACTTCATTTGTTTCAAAATAATCTGCATAAACCAAGTTCAAGTCATTGAAAATAGGCCTCAATGGGTTCGTTGGTTTATATAGTTTATGTGCAATCAATGTATTATTATTATTTTGTGCTTTGGAATTTGTAGTTGGAGCATTTGTTGGTTTTGACTTTTTGACTTTATATGGAACAAAATTTTTCAATTCTTCATTATTCTCCTTTGTAGCACTGGAAACAACAGTTAAGTCATCACCTTTACCTTTTAATTTCAAAAATTTATCCTTTTCCATTGCTTTTAAAAATTTAGCACTTTTCTTCCATGATGTCTTTTTAATTTGAATTTGTTCAAAATCAGATGCAAGATTTTTGATTATATGATTCATAAATTCTGACGATGTCATTGGTAATTTAATACCATCTTGGGTTAAGGTTTGTAATAATGATCTTTTGAAGAAATGGTCAACATCTTCCACAGTCAATGTATCTACAACATTTGCTAATTCGTTGACATCATCTTTTGCTTGTTCAGTTTCTGTTGGTGTTTCTGGTTGAGTTTCAGGTCCATTATTTTGCTCTTCTGCACCATTGATTGTAGATTGCTCGATGGAAGTTTCTTCTTCAACTTGATCTGTGACTTTTTGTTCTGGTTGTTCTTGTTCACCATTCTGTTGTTCTATTACCTCTTCTTTGAACTTTATTTCTAAACTTGGTTCTTTTGGAGGTTTGATCTTTGATTTAGCAATTCTGAATAACATGTCATCATGACTATGATAAACATCAACAGCAACACCTGTAGTACCAACAACTTTCTGAATTTGACCCAAATTTAAATTAGATCTCCCCACAGCCCAACAAGTTAATGGATCTTGAGTATCAGCAATTGCCACTATAGAACCTTTTTTAATTTCAGATAAGAATGGTGGGACACTTCCTGGTAACATAAGATCAGCACCACCTTCCAGAACTTCAATGACATGTGGATGTGTATGAACGATTGGTAATATGAAAGGAGCTGCCCAAAGAGTATAAACAGTTGGAATCAATTCACTATCTTTTGTCTTGAACCAAACAGGTGTTTGATGATCATCTGTATAAATTGTTCCTGAATAACCCTTCGGACTTTTGAAAGTTGTTTGTTTGATGATTGGTGGTAAGATCTTCTCTTCTGTTTCCTTGGATAATCCTTCTGGTAAATTGTACTCTTTGATGATTGAACCAAGCATACGTCTTCTTTCTGAAGACTTTAAGTTTGATAAAGCTTTGATCTGGTAATTAATGTCAGCATGGCTCAATTTTAATACTTAATGCACTATAACTCACCTGTGGATCTTTTCTGAACATTTTAAGTCTATAAGGTCCAATATACTCAGTAATTTTTGATCAGTAGCATATAGCTTTTATGAACATTTGCCATATAAAAGTTTTTAATATTGAAAAAAATACGTCAAGTTCGCGACCATATAAACGAAAAGTAAACAAAAATTCAAAACATCACCAATTTTCAAAAAGAGAAAGGTATTTTCAGAGAAGGAGTTTTTCACTCTATGGACAAACTGGTTGTTATATAAGGAGATGGTGTTTGATGTGATAGAAGGGAATCCTCCTGATGGTTTCGTTTGCAGTGCCAAAATAGACGGATTGGCGTATTCTTGGTGTCCTACAATGGATCTCGTTGCGTTTACCGCCAACAATGGGAAACTGGTGGTTGTTTACAGAAAGAACGGATCAAAAGTGTGGGAGCTGACAATTCAAGATGGATTGGCAAAAGGATTGGTATGGAGACCAGATGGAAAGCAGTTTGCAGTGATAACGACGAAAAACAAGTGTTTGGTGTACGAGTCCAATACGGCCAGGCTTTTAACGGAAGATCAGATCAGAGATGACATTACGTTTGGTGAATGGGTCTTATCTACTGATAATTCCCAGAGGCATAAGTTCAGTGAGTTGGTGGATCTAGGCTTGTGGAAAAGCTTACCCAAATTACCACCATTACCCAATTCTTCTAAGTCAAATACGTTTACAACCAAAGTTGCTATTGATGGATTGATTCAACAGAATGATCAAAGTAAGGAGATGAATTTGTTAATGTTATTTTCAGAAAGCAAATTACAAATGACGTTTAATGCCTTATTTTCAGTCGAGTCGATTGATTTGATAGGCCCTGCAAATGATGAAGATGAAGAAATCGTGGCACATATTTCCCAAAACCTTGAGGATCATTATATTATAACTTCATCATTCACTACGATGAAACTTCAATTAAGACATTTTAAGATTTCCATGAACAAAGACTATAGGCTGGTACATGATTTGACATCACTCAGCTCCAAAATAATTGCGCTATCAGGTTACATCAATGAAATTTTAATTTTTTTGGCCCAGGATATTAGAACTTTATTAGAATTTAGTAATAGATTTGTTGGTATATTGAAAGATGAACTTCAGGGTATTAATGATAATGTTGGTGATCAATTATATGATTTATTACTCACGGGTATGATGAGTCTTGAATTGAAAGATTGGCTTGAAAATACATTAGGTGAAAGAGGTATAACAAGATGGTCCAAAACAGGTGAAGCCGTTTTTGAAAACACTAGAAGAACTATTTTTTACCATTTGATACCATCATGTGAAAGATTGATTACATTACTTTCGCATATAAAGGGAACGTCTAAGGCTTCAATTTCACAAGAGAAGAATTTCAATTTTGATATAATAGATGAATGTACAAAATCAGCACAAAATTTCATGAAATTATCATTCCAATTCATAATTAATGTTAAAAAAGAACAAGAATTATTCGGATCATTTGTTAATTGGATCCATGCTGTTTTGAGAGAATTACAAGATGAAGAACCACGTACTGTTTATAAGACCTCAGATGTTTCTGAATTCATAAATTCACATCTTGAAAGATCCTCATTAATGATGTTAACTCCACAATTTAGAAGACATTTCAATGAGATTAAAATTAATACAAATGATTTATTCACTTCAATAAAATCATTGATTAAAGACTTTGTCTCTTATGATTCTCAAAAATATGAATTAGGTGTTGTTACTGAAAAGCAAAAATTAAAATTTCAAAATGAAAATTTATACATTTATTCACATGGTAATGCAATTATAAGTATATACAAATTTGATACAAATTCTCAAAAACTTGAATCAATCGATATTGAAACAGGATCTGAAGTTTATGATATTCAAATTTCCAAAGAAAAAGATGAGATTTTCATTATTATCAATGATGAATTAATATGTTTCCAAAATGAAGATCTTTTTAATCAACACAAATCACATTTTAAATTTGATGATTTAATTATAACTAAAAGGAAAAAATTTCCAAATTTCCACCCAAAATATCTAACTTTGAATACTTTGAATAATATTGGAAGTTTAGTCTCTCAAGACTTGCAAAAATTCATAATTTTCAATCTAGACGAAGAAACAAATCTTCAAGAAAGACCCAAATCATCATCACCATCACAACCAGAACTCGATAGTTCAGGAGATTTAATTTTATAGGATAACTTCTTCCTTCAATCTAGGATTTATGGCTTTTGGTTGTATATAAGCATGTTTAGTATAATCACCATAACCATTTTCATCAATTATATAACTTGTTCTCAAGAATTTTCTATATTCTTTTCTAATGTTTTTACCTTTCGATTTATCATCATCAAATTTGAAATTCTCAGTATTATCAGTATAATTCAACAAAAATTCAAGATCTTGCTTTTGTAAAGGTGGAATTTGTTGAATAATATTTCTTAAATAAGTTATATGTCTTTTAATTAAATTTTTCTTTCTCACCAAAGGAATTTCACCACCTAAAAAATTTGGTGGGATATAAACCATTGGTAATTTGACATTCTTGTTATGTATAACAGTATTACCTGAAAGAAAATTGATTAGTCTGAAGACATGGCGAACCAATTGGTCATAAAATTCATATTTTTCAACATGTTTCTTTGGTGGTGAACTCAAACTTTCACATGGTTCAACATCAACATTAACATTATTTTCTTTTGTCCGCTGTTGACCAAATTTCATATCATATTGTGATATAATTGAGCTAACACTAGGGAGTGCTCTTGACGGTCTTGGAAAAGTTAATTTAGATACCAATTTATCATTTTTGTAGATCCCATCAAGTGATTTACCTTTCAACATTCGTTCTTTATAATCATGTTCAATCCAAGTTGGAATTTCAAACCTTAAGAAATGTCTGATATATTCATGTCCTTTGTAAAAAACATTATCATGTGCCTTGTGTAATAATGGAGTTATTGAAGAGTATTTATCTTTAAGAACATCTGAAGTTAGATTATCAATAATTTTCAATTCATGTTGATGATTTTTCTTGATATAATTGTTGGATTGATCCACGAGTTTCTGTTTAGTAAGATGATCAAGCGGCAGAAGGTTTATCTGTTTCAGTATCTTAGATTTGAGAAGATGCATAGTATCATATCATAGCGTTATTCTTGAAGGGGGTCAAGGTTTTTTATTGTCAATTGTTAAAGGTTGATCAAATCATGGAAATTTTTTATGCTAGAGTGCAAATGCTTGAAGTTTCGCGATTGGCTATTCAAAGAGTTAGTGAAAAAAAATAATGAACCACACCATTCAATATACCACTTGTGGACCAGGTGTATCATTTATTGCTTATTTATTAGAGGAAAGGGATGTTTCATTCATTCAATACTGCCTATCAAGTTGTATGTTGTATGCTGTTGTTGTAGCAATGAATGCTGTTTTAATTGTCCATTGATAAATCGGTATGTACACTTTAATTTATATTTGTGACACAAAATAAAGATATTAAAGCCCTTTAAAGAGCACAGAAGTACAAGCTAGAATTATCATCAAGTGTAAATTCATCAAGAGTTAATTCATCAATTGTTTAACCAGAAATTCGTCCCAGAAATTCATCAGTTGTTTAACCAGAGATTTATAAATTGTTTAACCAGAAATTCATCCCAGAAATTCATAAATTGTTTAACCAGAGATTTATAAATTGTTTAACCAGAAATTGATCAGTTGTTTAACCAGAAATTTATAAATTGTTTAACCAGAAATTCATCCCAGAAATTCATAAATTGTTTAACCAGAAATTGATCAGTTGTTTAACCAGAAATTTATAAATTG